ATTATGAAAAGCAAAGTGCAACTAGTCAAGACTTTCCAACTCAACCAAATGATCCATCTGAAACTAAGATTATGGCATCTGAGACTCAAGGAAGTTCTGCAAATTCAAAAGACAGTTGAAGTTCGTTCTTCCTTTCTTAGACGATACTCCTCTAATGTCCTAGAGCTAAAGTCTAATGCTGACAACCGACCACAAATATTCAGATTTCCCATGACACAAGCTATATCATAATAAGAAGTTTATTAATTTAACTGGGTGTTTATCCTTTCTTAGAATGAGAGTTGATTCCAAAACCTTGAAGCATTACAGTAGGGATAGCTACAGCCGGAACTGAACTTGTTCCGCTTATGCAAAATTGCAATCAAGGTGAATATGATGCTTAGTCATTTTACCCAACTAAAAATTTAGCTTGTCGATGACAATCTATGAGACACCCTTTAGAAGATCTTAGACACTACTAATCATTCATTTTCACAAGAGTGGTGAGAGATGCTTACCTGAACAAGTTTTGCACAATGTCAGGAACCCACAAGACCTAAAGATGATACTAAGCATGACAAGTAACTGTTACAGTGCAAGTCCATTTACTGAGATATTTTCAGGATTCATTAGATGTATGGAAAAACCAGCACCTACTCATCTCGTTGAACTCTTTTTCATTTGACCAAGCATATCATTCACACATAATTTTTAGAATTCATGATTCCATGGATACCTACAAGACTCAAACTAATTAACATGCAAAAAGAGAGCTTCCTGATACTGACTAATTCAAAAGTTTCAAACACTGATATGTTCACAGTATCAGTATTCACTTGATAGACACAACTTGACCTACTAAGACACATAACAACTTTGATTTAGGCTAGAAGATTAATTTCTAGTAAATTATAGTCCATAGATTTCAAACCAAACATTATTACCAAGGATCAACATACCTGTCGTGCCATTTTTGAGACTGGTAAATAACTAGTTCTTACCGTACAGTGTGAGCACCCTCTTCCGAGAAAATGATTTGTCTCCATGCTCACTTGGAAGCAAATCTGCACACTTAACAGTCATGTTGTTTTGCGAACCCAGATAAACTCGGGTTCCTTTCTTTTCTGAAAGTTAACACTGTTATTTTTATTCCAGAAGCAATTCCTACTTAAATGTCCTAGTTTGTGACAGGTAAAACAAGTTCTTATGTTCCGAGAGCGAGAATGCACATTATTCCAGGTCTTTCTGTTCCAGTAGTATTCATGCTTTTGTTTATTAGTGAGTTTATTGATTTCAAGTCTCAAGCTCTCAATATGTCGAATTAATGCCTTGTTGTCTATTTCAAGTTTTCTTGATTTTTCAGTATCACTTGAACTGCACTTTTCATTAAACTCGCAAGGGATAACACAACTACACAGCATTTCTGATTCCTTGTTCTTATTATTTTTGCTGTTACTATCTACTGCATTCATGTTTATTTCTGACTCAACTGTTTTTCCCTTGAGCCTTTTGTTTTCAGATCTCAACTTCTCTAGTTCAAGTTTAGTACTTTCATGATTGGTCAGTTCATTATGACAGTTTTTTTTAAGCCTATCATTTTCAAGTTTTAACTCTTCTAGAGTGTCAGCCAGATTTTTGCATTTTTCTTTATATCCATCAGACTGTTTACTTAAAATTTCGCATTTGATTTTCGCTTCATTATGCTCTTCTTTTAGCTTACTGTATTTTACCTTAACCACAGCAAATTCGAGTTGAATACTTCTAATAGTGTTTGTTAGGGGATCATCATCACTGTAATAATCTGATTCACTAAAGTCAGGAGGCTTACTTACCTCAAATGGTCTGCTGTGAGCATCGAGTGACAAATCATCAATAGCCATCAAGCAAGCATCTTTCTTGTGAGGAAGCTCTTCGTAGTCGTCCTCATCATCTTCACTGCAGCTCCAGGTTGCGGCCATAGCTTTCTCCTTCCTCCAGAGAGGACATTCTGCCTTGATGTGACCCTGTCGTCCACATTTGTAACAACCTGCTTGATTTTTCTCGGTTGAACAGTTTTCTTTTCTTGTTTTCTGATTTTGACGATTTGAACCTTGTTTCCTAAATCCTTGATCTTTCTCAGCATCTCTGTCCTTGTATTGATTTGAGAAGTTGCCCCGTCTTCTTTCTTTTCTCATTCTCATGAGCTGCGTTATGCGCTTGTTGAGAATAGCAAGCTCATCATTGTCCATATCCTCATAGTCGTCTGAGTCTTCCTCATAGGCATGAGTTCTGAATGCTATCCCCTTCCTATCCTTCTTATTTTCTTCATTGTTTTCTCTCTTTAGCTTTTCTTCATAGGTAGCGAGAGAGCCGATGAGTTCATCGACATTCAGAGTACTCAAGTTCTTTGCCTCTTCTATTGCTGTGACCTTAGGATCCCATATCTTTGGTAGAGACCACAGAATTTTGCGGACAAGGTCTCCGCTTTCGTATGATACACCCAGGTTCTCAAGACTATTCACAATGTTAGTGAATCTTTCTGACATGTCTCTGATGGATTCTCCATCATCCATCTTGAAGGTTTCGAACTCGGTTTTCAGCATATTAATCCGAGAAATTTTCACTTGAGATGTGCCTTCGTATGTTACCTGGAGTTTGTCCCATATCTCCTTTGCAGTTTTGCACCCGGAGACTTTGTGATATTCCTCAGGACCCAGTGAGCAGTACATTAAATTTGTAGCCTTGCAGTTTTGCTGGTATTTCTCGTAATCATCGTCTGTCCACTTGCTTCGATCTTCCTTGAGCTCGAACGGACCATCGATGACCCGATTCCAGATTTTTGGATCCGTGGAGCCGATAAACAATTCCATGCGATTCTTCCAGTAGCCGTAGTTTACACCTTCGAACCTCGGAGGTCGATTCTGTGAGAACCCATCGGCCAAGTACAACACCGCACCCTTTCCCGAACCCGACGCCATTTATTCACCTCCGGAGATCGTAGGATCTTATTCGACGGAGCCGGGCTCTGATACCACTTGTTGGTGCGTCGAGCGCGAGACGTTCCGGCCGTTTCTCCGTATTTCTTCAAACAATTGAGCACCTGCAAAACCCTATTCGAATCTTTTGCCAAGAACAAGTGAGAGAAGGGAAAGTAGACTGAGTTTGATCAGAGAAGACTCTGCTATTCAGAGCTCTTCGTGTGATCAAGGAATAAGCTTCCTGTAATGGGCTTTTGACACTTAAGCCCAATTGACCCACACTCCTTGTACGAAGTCCACCTTAAGATTTGGGGGTCAGATTACAACTAAAACTAAAAGGCCAAACTAACTTAATCAACTCAAACGACGAGCTTTACCAACACATTAGCATCTGTCTTTCTTCTCTCTTTCGGATCAATAGGTGTCCTGCAATTTGAATAAAGAACAGCCCAAGAACAATATTCCAGAACCAGACTAAACCCAGTAAATGAAACGGAACCTATATCAAACCAGCGCCTGAATCGATTCACCAGACCCGTCCCAGTGAGCGCTAGAGCTTCGTCTTCCTTCGTAAGTCCTGGTCGATTTCCCCTGCACTCAAAGACTGAAACAGAGCACACAAATAGACAAAGCCGACCCTGAAACTGAAATGCAGAGTAGGAACACGACACACGATTTTTACGTGGTTTCCAGTATTGGGAGAATAAGGATCCCAATACTGACTACTCCACGGTCAGAGATTCGCAGTGCGCGATCTCCGACGTTTCACTAATGATTTTACGTTTAAGTTCTCAAATTTACATAAACACTCAAACCCGTTCGATCAGCTCCCCGCTTGATCGAAGCTTACTCTCTATCGGCTACCCAGCTAATAGAAACCCTGATATTTCCCCAATATCAGAACCCAGAAATCTCCCCGACTCCTGTGCTGACTTTTCTCTCAAAATCACTCGCAAATCCCCTTTGCACTCTTTGATTTTGTTCTGCCGAAAAGTCTGCATATCACTCCAGCTTTCTTCTCTTTATATACTACTCTGGTGACCAAAAGCATCTGCAAGTGAAATACTCTCCTTCCTTGTTTAGTTTCCCTTGATTTTGCAACCTTCTATTTGAGACAAGTTGACCGTTGCCTTGAGCTATCTTCCCATGTTTAGCATATCTCGTATTCTCTTAGGAATGGTAAGCTTCTGATTTGTAAATCTCCCATCTAAGGAAAGTTCCTCCTTCCAACTTGTTGATGTTGAGATGTTCGGTTGCTGACGTGACTGTTGAATGGCTTTGCTTGAGCGCCAAGCCATTTGGAGAAAATGCACCTACTGTGATCTGCCACAGTCTTTCCTCCTTTGTTGATCAACCCGTCCATCTAGCATTTGCACAGCTTTTGCGGAATCTGTATACAATTTAAGTTTCTCTTCCTGCACTCTCAATTAATTCATTAGTTTCGAATGCACATACAACCCAATTGTTTTGCTAATGACAAGTTTGCTCCTAACAATGTCAGGGAAGAGGAAGCGGTTTGTTCCGCGGGTTATGTTTCGTCGGAGGAAGGAGTGGGGGAGAGGAAGCGGTGAAGAAGATCGGGGATGAAGGGTTAGAAGAAGGAATGGGGAAATGTCAGGGAAGAAGAGGGTTACAGATTGGAGAAGGGAAGAGTAGATTGGGTTGTATTGGATTGGGCAAAGCAAGATGACATGACGGGTTGAGTGACGTGGCAAGTCAGGTTTCACCTTTTTAGATTTAATTTTTGCTGACTAAGCGATTATTTTTGCCATGTCAACATTCTTGTTATCCACATAAGTAATTGACTGACGGTGTCAATTGAGACTAACGGAGAGTGACGAAACGTAAATCGTAATACTAATTCGAGTGACCAACATTGATTTTAATTTTTTCCATTCCCAGTAACCAAACATCATGTAATTCTTAGTAATTCCAGTGATCAAACATCATTCTTAGTAATATCAGTGATCAAACATCATGACAATACTTAGTAACACTTAGTAATTCCGGTGGTAATTCTTAGTAATTCCGGTGTTTAATTCCGGTGGTAATTCTTAGTAATTCCGGTGATCAAACAAGGCATTCATTGCCTTACACATCCACCACTCTGTTTTACTTTGGTAAAGATCATGGAAATGCATCTTATAAATGTAATCATGCATTAGATTTATGCTTTCCTTTTGGTTCGTCCAGGAGAAGCAATCGTCCGTTCCTGATGCCTGGATTGGAACTCCCAGCTGCCAATAGGTTCGTCCAGGCCAGCTACGATTTCAACAAGCATTGGACCAAAAAGCACCATTCATACATATCTGTAAACATAGCAATTAGCAACGGAACAGAAGTCCAGACTCCAGAGCCATTTATTCCTAACAAGAAAGTTCTCACAACTATAGTACCGAAAAGGTTCTAGAGCTAGCAAAGACCAGCCGCAACAAGAACCGAAGAGCTACCCAACATGTTCCAAAACAACAAAAGATCCCCCACTTATTTATATGCTTATATTTCATAGAAAATATTCTAAACACAGTTCTTCTCCACCCGACTAGGACTTCTCACCAGTGAGGAGGTCTATCACAACACGCTTGATGCTCCCATTGTTCTTCTTCAACAGCTTTTTGTTCGTTTCATTGTCGCAGAAACCCTGCACAGCCATAATTCCCATTTCTATGTCAGCACACACTTCCTCAACACCGGTTAGGGGCCTTCCGGGAGGGTCGGAATTGATTCTATCAGTCAAGCACGCCACTTACCATCTCTTTCAGCTCCTCAAGGATCGGGTCCCACTCGCCAACACCACAGAGATCATCCAGCGACCGATCCAGGTCATACTCATTCATCCGCAGGATCTCCTTGTTCAGATCCACCTGTTTGAACCCCATTTCCTCCAATTCCTTCAGAAGGCTCTCTTCAACATAATCTTCCACCTTCGTGCCCTCTTGTTCAGCAGTTGGCTTGTTCGTTCCAATTGCGGCAGGGGCACTTGGGTTGTTGATGCTAGAAGAAGGGCCGGCTGCTGAATCATACAGGTCTATCATAGGATAGGGCAGATAAGAGCTGGTCGAATTGACCTGCGGGGCTGAGGGGCGATTCCCAACAAACAAGGCATCATTAACCGGGAAATTCTTCTCCTGCTCTGAATTAGCCTGTTGATCAAACATGTCCGTCACCAGCACCTCTGAAGGTAAGGCTGAACCAGAAGGCTTGCTTGTCGCATCTACTGTGGCTGCAGGGGACTCAGAGGCATCAACAGAAACAGGAGGTAGATTGAGGTTCAAGCCCTGGAGACTTGCGCCAGAAGCAACACTCAGGGAAGCATCAACCTGGCAAGAATGAATAAGAATCGCACCAAATCATAATCTACTCTACAACAAAAAGAGCAACTAAAGTTGAAAAGAGTATCCACAATTGATATTTGATAGTATAACCAACGATGAAACTACATACATTGATAAGAACCCAGATGCGCTGACCGAATTTTGTGCCAGCAGGTGAAACCATTCTCCAGTATGAGATGTATCGACCAGGCAATACAGGAGAGGTAAAATCAATAGCAACATCAAGTTCTGCATCAACGGGAAGACCATTTGTAGGAATCTGGCAAGTGAAAAGGCTAGACATCAGAATCAGAAGAAAACAGATAATGAAGTTCTGCAGCAAGCAAAGCAATGGAGATGCTCACCTCTAGCACAGATGAATCGGTTTGACTGAATCTGTCTCCTCCAATCCACACAAGCCGAGTACCCATGGGCCACACAAGATTACCATTGTTGCGCAGTCGCCAGATTTTTTTAAATGGAGTGGATGGAGCGAGTACAGTACCATCAACAACATTCACATCTAAAATAAAGCGACTGTCCAACCTAGGCTGCACAGATACACCTTGTTTCGGTATAGACTTGAATGTGGATACAGGGAACATCCAAGAGGAAGCCTTGAAAAATAGAAGAATAAAATGAGCAAGATAAAGACAGCAAAACTTGCAGCAAAATATCATATGACAAAACACGCGGAACATCCACTTACAGGACAATTCGAGCCTCTGAAAGACCGTGAATGTCGATAAGTCACGGGCTTATCCATCTTGACATAGTCAGTTTCGTTACCCATTTGAGCAAAGCACAAGTAGCACAAGTCATAATTTTCCTTTCTGCAAAAGGGTGTCAACAATTTAATTTAGAGTCGAAAGGAAAAAGGAAAAAATAATCTCCAACTCGCTAGGATCATAGAATCAGGAAACCTACACCATTGATTTATAACGGGGTCCTGCAATGGGATGTATCCCACAGCCATCACATTGAACACCTCGGTGGAACAACCCAACCATGCCATCCTTGCGGCTATGGCTCCTCTTAAACGGTTTAGATGGCTTGAAATGGGTAGGCAAAGGAGGAGGCAGTGTATAAGAGCTGTCAAACAGCTCCGCCCCACTAAATGGGCAGGAACTGCCCCCATGATTCACTGTAGGACCCTGAACCCCAGCACTCCGTTCTTTCATTTCCTTCTCAGCTGCCTTGTTTTGTGCAGAATTCTCTACTAATGAAGAGGAATCACTAGGAGGGTCCAGATTCAAATCAACATGAGCAGAAGAAACAGGATTTGATGACCTTGGCACACCATGAGTGTCGGCACTGTATCCAGCCAAATCTTCTGGCAGGCTACCATCACCAGAAGCACATGGAATCGCAGATTGTACAGTTGGAGTACCTGCATCCTTGGTTTGAGGGATCGCATTAGCCACTGCAGCCTGAGGCTCCTGCGGAGTACTAATGTAGGAGAGCCCAATCTTTGACAAGTTGTCAACAAGATCAGTCAGCACAGGAGCAGAAGAACCGGCACTAGAAGCCAGGTCCAGAGAAATCTTGGAGAGTGCTTCATACAGAGGTTGCTGGGCTGATTTCGACACTTCCTTCACATCGATTTTAAACTGGGCACCAGAAGAAGCAGCTTTTGAAGCTAAATCAGAAGAAATTTTTGAAACAGCATCAGCCACCGATGGTGGTAGAGCAGACAGAGCAGGTTGCAGAGTCTTGAGCACATCAGCAACACTGGAGCCAAGGTTAGTTGGGGATGGCTTCTGGGTTTCAAGAGATCTGGAGGGTGTAGAGCTTCCACTAGATGCAGCATAAGAAGAAGCACCTTTTTCAGTCCTGAGATTGACATCCACCCTCAAGAACTTGAGGTTTTGCCTGGTGACATCTTGCAGATCAGAGTCATCAACGAGGGTCACAACATCCCCGTCTTCATCAACGTAGGTAAGTCCAATCACTGCATCAGGAGGGAAGCTAAAAAGAGTAATGACCTTAGCCCTTAGACCATCCAAGTTGAGGGCCAGCTGTCCATCCTCCTTAATAACAGCATTGAACCGCCTCAATGTGTCAGCATATCGAACCTGCATGCGGTACACGAAGCCATTACTTTATCATCCAAGACCAGACAATCGGAATTCAGGAACCGTCAATTCATCACACAATAGGACTAGGGAATTCCACCGAAACCACAATCGATGACCAAAAACAAAGATTGTTGCATGCAATCACACTTCAACATTCAGCGCAGTTATAAGAAGATCAACCGACGAATACGAATTCAATCAGTGAAAGGCGGAAATCGAAGAAGAAAAGAACCGGACATGATCAGGTAACAAGCAAACAAACCACTCCCCTCCAGTCCAAAATCGCAACAAAACCCATCCCCAACGCAAAACCTAATCGCAAGAAACCAGGCTAGAACAGTGAAAAGAAACGACAGCAAAGCAAACAATAGTGTTACCTTGATCACGAGAGTTGACTCCATAGGTGCAGAGCTACTGAGAAGCTACGCGTTCCGGTGAGCCGCGCACGATCAGAGAGTTAAACGGGAAACAAAACCCTATGCAAATTTGTTCACACACTCGCCGATCGCAAAGAGACGAAGGAGAGAAGAAAGAAAGACGGTAGGTATTTAAGGAGCTCTAGACAGACGCATACTCTCCGAAGCGTACCAGTAAGCCGCTTTTGGCGTGAAACTGATGAAGAGTCCCTTCGTAATCCAACCTCCCGGGTTTTTATGTGTTGCCTTTGCCAGCTAGTAAGGTGCTTATAGGTGTCAAAACATAGCCCGACCCGATTAACCCGCCCGATAAACCCGACCCGCAAACCGACCGCAACCCGAATTGACTAAAAGTCAACAACCCGTAACCCGCCCGACCCGCAACCCGATTGACCCGCAACCCAACTAACCCGCAACCCGACTAACCCGCAACCCGATTAACCCGAACCCGATTGACCCGCAACCCGACTGACCCGCAACCCGATTAACCCGAACCCGATTGACCCGAACCCGACTAACCCGTAACCCGACCGAGTCAACCCGAATTTCATCTAATCCACTTGAATAATTATAAAAATATACAATACATAGTTTTTCAAAATAAAGTTTTTCATTCTAAACTTAAATAAAATTATTTTTTCATTTCGTAAAGGAAATTTATAAAATATGAAACTCACTTGATATTACGTATTTTAAGAAAATTAAAAAAAATGAAACATGAAGGTCACTTGAGATCATGACAATATTAATATAATATATAAATTAAAATTTTGGTTAATTTAACTATTCAATAAAATTATCAATTAAATATAAATAAAGTAAAGTAATGTATTTGGTAATTTGATGTTTTTAAATGAAGAGGGAAATTTTGGTGTATTCAAGTTTTTTGGAAGAGAAAGAAGAGGGAAATTTAGTTCTTTGAATTTTTTTTGAAAAGAAACAAGTGGGAATTTTGGTGGTTTTGATATGTGGAAAGAGAAAGAAGTGGGAAAATTTGATTCTTTTGATTATGAAAGTGAAATAAGGAGGGAAACTTTTGAGTTTTCGTGGTCGTTTGGATGGGTTAATTATCAATGTGGTATTTGTAGAGTCAAATAACTCATTTATTGCTCATGTGGTATTTCAGTGTTATTTTAGTGGTAATTGAAACAAAGTATCTCGTTTGGTTGAACCATGCAAATGTGGTATTTGATATGTGGTATTTGGTAAAAGCAGAGTGATAAAACGAGTTATTTCGAAATAACACATGGGTATAAGTTATTTCAAATAACTCGTTTTGAGTTATTTGTAAATAACTCACTGTCCAAATAACTCATTTCAGTAAAACGCTGCCAAACGAATTATTTGCGTCCAAATAACTCATTGTGAGTTATTTGAACCCAAATAACTCATACAAATACTCCATCCAAATGACCCCTTCAACTTTTTGTAGAAGGAAAGAAGATGGTAATTTGGTTCTTTCAATTTTATGGAAGAGAAAGAGGAGGGAAAATTGAGTTTTCTAATGTATGGAACTTGGAAGTAGAAAGAAGGAGGGAAATTTTAGTATTTTTGTGAAAAGAAAGAAGGAAACAGATTTGGGGTTTTCAATTTTTTGTTTTTTTTTTATAATTTTACCTTTTGAAATATGAATTTTTAACTATTATATGGAGGGCATGACTAGTTAAAATTATTCTTATATGCTTTGAAGGCTAATATATATATGTATGTAATTGTTTATGGGCTAATAAATAAATTTACCATTAGGTACAACAATTTATACTAAACTTGATAAGTAATCTTTGACGGTTCGTTGTTTAGGATATAAAATATATGGTTAGGGTATAGGGTATAAGGTACATATGGTTAGGGTATAAGATATTGATGGTTTTGACGGTTCTAAGTTTTTTATTAACATATGTTCACTTGAAGTCATTTGAAGTCTTTAACGGCAGGATATCCTTTTTTTATTTATGTTTATGGTACATGGTTAGGGTACAAGGTATGTGGTGTAAAGTATAAGATCTATGGTTAGGGTATAACAATTAGCAAATATCACTCTTTATGTATGATTTGAAAATCAAAGTATGAATTTCACTTTTAAATTAACTATACTAGCAAAATCACAACTCAAAGACATATGGTTAGGGTATAGGGTATAGGTTATGTGGTTAGTGTATAATGTATTGATGGTTTAGGGTATACAATCAACAACATATACTAACTTAATATTGTTGATTGAGGGTAAGACTAAGTGTATATGATATATGCTATTGAGTAAGTTATGATTGAAGTAACAATAATTTTATTAAATTTGATAGCTAATCTTTAATGGTTCAATTTTTAGGATAATTCGAACAATTTTACAAATAACTTGTTTGGCAACAGTTTACTGAAGTTATTTGGGTAATGAGTCATTTCGAAATAACTCCTTTTATCACTATGCTTTTGCCAAATACCACACACCAAATACCATATTTGCATGGTTATACTAAACGAGATACTTTAATCCAATTACTACTGAATTAATACTAAAATATCAGATAAACAATTAATGTTGTCTTTTGGTTGCAAATATTGATATCACCATTACTATTAGCTATAATACTTTACCAATTATGATTAATTACATAACAAGTTTGCAAGTCATACAAATTAATTTAACATTTTGATTAGTTTTTTTCAAAATTTTGTACTGATACAGGAAAAACAATTGGGCTCTCCCGCATTTTTTCCCTCCCTCCCCAATTCTGAAATTTGGCTCCTGAAATATTTGGCTCCAAAGTCTAAAAGTTTTGGCGCTCTTCAATTTGGCTACAAAGAAAAACTAGAAGTGGCATTACCTTTTGGCAAAATACACTCGGATAGCCATAACTATCCACTTATTGACAATAATAGCCAATTTTTGAAAAATACACTAAAATAGCCATAATTTTGAAACTTATTAGTCAAATATAGCCATTTTCGTTAAATACTTTAACAGCGTTAGCAATTCCGTCAGTCAAGTGGGACGGTCAACTCCGTTGACCGTTAGTCAACACGCCATGTCATTGCCTAGTCAGCCTAAAAATCATTAAAAAAATGCAAATTTCAAATTATTTTTCTAATTTTTCTTATTTATTATCAAATTAACCAAAAATAAATTATAAAAAACATAAAATAAATTTGATTTTTATTTTTGGGATAATTTGAAAAATGATAACTTTTATAAATTAAATAAAAATTATCAAATTATTTTATATTTTTAAAATTTTCCACAAAAATATAATTTATATCATAATTTTTAAATTTATAAAATTTATTTTGATAATTTTTGGTTAATTTATAAAATTTATCATTTTCAAATATCACAAAAAAATTATTTTATATTTTTAGAATTTTATTTTTTGGTTAATTGGAAAATGATAAATAATAGAAATTAGGAAAATAATTTGAATTTAAATTTTTTTAATCATTTTTAGGCTGACTAGGCAATGACATGGCATGTTGACTAACGGTCAACGGAGTTGACCGTCCAAATTGACGGTCAAACTATGTGTCAGGCCAATTGAGTCTATATGCTGCATAGTTGAGGCCAGGATGTTAATTTCTGAAACCACGGGCCAAAGTTGATTATATGGTCATAGTTCGGGCCAAAATAAGGTATTAACCCTAATGATAATGATATAGAAACCCGTTTTCATTAGAAAACGTATTTCTAACATCCGATCCCCCTTGAAACCAACCTTGCCCTCAAGGTTGATCAACTCAACCCATTTCTTCATGTCTACCGTGCAATCCACGTCTTGCCTCCATTTCTTGCGCTTTCTTTTCTTCCAATTATGTTCTACTACTCGAACGTATCTCACACCAACAACTCCAACTCCAATGACTTCTTCCTTATCCATGTGGTTCGCGTTGTAAGCATGGCCTATTGACTGTCCACCCCCCTTTTCAAAATCCACCAAGTAAGAAGTGGGGTGCTCACCTAAGCCCACAAATTCTTCTTTCTTCATATTCAAGCCTACACTTTGTAAAAGAGATTCCATAGGGCTTATATGAGGCCCATCTTCATTATGGAGTCTCTCTACTTGTCTGTGCGTACGCAGCCCAGGGCCGGTTCGTGCTAGCCCGCCCCGTCGCTCTGCTCGGCCCACTGATGTGGATTGCTGCTGTTGTTGTTTTCGCACCAAGGAGAGCCCAACACCTCTCTTCATGCGTCCCAACCTATAACCAAGGATGATGGGTCTCATCTCCTCTCATAGGCCCACTCCCTTTTGCCTCTTCATTCAGACCTGTGGCCCGGAGGTTTCGGCCCAACGAACATAGTTGCTGCTATGGTGTTACGCGGTTGGAGGCCACCCTAGGGTTTGACCGTAAGGAAGCAATGTCGCCGCCTGCTCTCGCCGTCTCTGCCTTCCGCGCCGCCGCGCATAGCGCGGCCTCCTCCCAGCCTCGGCCAGCCCCTTCGAGAGAGCCGTTCCCCGCGCTGCCGTCTGCTGCTTTGGACGCCGCAGTGCGCCGCGCGGCCTCCGCCCTGCCTCGGCCAGCCTCGTCGAGCGGCGCCAGCTCCGCCCCTGCTGCGCCCTCGTCTTCCTCTCCCGCCGCGGCACCGCGCGCCGCTCTCTCCTTCCAATAGCCCACAATCTGCCACATCTTTTCTTGCTTCCAAGCCCACGTCTGCTCCGATTTTTCCATTGTTGTCCTTGGTAACTCTCCTGGCCGGAAGCTCCCCTAAGGGAGTTAACAAAAACTCGCCGATCGGAACCGGGCTCTGATACCAGATGTTAGAAACAAAGTTTCTAACGGGTCTCCAGATCAAATCTAGAGATTGAGAATTTAGGGTTTATAGAACAGAATTGGGGATTTAGGGATTTGAGCAGAGAATTTGGGGAAGAACAGAGATAGAATGGCCGAAGCCTTTAGAGAGAGAGAAAGACGAGATTGAGAGAAGATTAGGGATTTGGGGAGATGACTTTTCTTATTAATTTCTGCTTAATCTGATGAATGACCCAAAGTACATATATATAGGGAAATACTAGAAAACCCTAAGAATAAACCTAATTCTACTAGAAGACTACTAACCATATTTAATAAAACCTAATAATAATGATAATGATATAGAAACCCGTTTTCCTTAGAAAACGTGTTTCTAACATCAATATCTTGCTTCCATAGAGGTAACTAATGCATGTTCTTGACCTAGTTGTGATGATCATGTCCCTAGGCCAGGATTTTAATATATCAAGCATTGTGGAATTTG